GGGAGCCGGGCTGCGGGAGCTGGGTTGGGGGAGCCGGGCTGGGGGAGCCGGGCCGGGGGAGCCAGGTGAGGGGGCCGGGGGAGCTGGGCGAGGGGGCCGGGCTGGCGGGGCTGGGCTGCTGGATCCCTGCCACACACACCCTGCTGCATCCCGACCCCCCAGGCCGCAGGCTGCCCCCCGGCTGCATCTCACCTGTGGCGTTGAGCTGGGTCTCAGCCCCGTGGTGGAACCGCGCTCCGGCCTCCCCCGGTTTGCCAGGGCTGTTGTGGAGAGAAGGCAGTTTGGGTCCCGGTTCTCTGAGGTCTCCTCCCCAGCTGGCTCCTCTCCTTGCTGGGGCAGTGGGGGGGGGCAGGGACCCCATTAGCCTTGGGGCCCGGGCCCTGCTGTGAGCTCCTGGGGGCGGGGCACCTGGGTGCCGGGCCCCGGGGTCTGGGCAGGTGTGCTCGGCGCGGGGACTGGTGTGGGGTAAAACACACCCACCTCTCCCTGCCTGCAGGAGCCACGCTCGGGGTCTGGGCAGCTGCTCGCACGAACACCTGTGCCCTCCTGCCGTGCACTAGCGCCCGTCCCTCTTGCACCAGCGCCCGTCCCTCTTGCATCAGCACCAGTCCCTCTTGCACCAGCGCCCACACCTTCCTGCCATGCACCAGCACCCATCCCTCTCCCACCAACGTCTGTCCCTCTCGCACCAGCGCCCGTCTCTCTCTCGCACCAACGTCTGTCCCTCTCACGCCAGCACCCGTCCCTCTCGCACCAACATCTGTCCCTCTTGCACCAGCGCCAACACCTTCCTGCTATGCACCAGCACCCATCCCTCTCCCACCAACGTCTGTCCCTCTCGCACCAGCGCCCGTGTCTCTCGCAACAACGTCTGTCCCTCTCGTGCCAGCGCCCGTCCCTCTCGCACCAGTGCCCGTCCCTCTTGCACCAACGTCTGTCCCTCTCGCACCAGCGCTCACGCCTGGCCTTCCTCACACAAACGCTTCTGCCAGTGCCATCCCCACCTGCCCGTGCGGCCAGGCCCTGCCCCTCGGACATGGGCCCCTCTCACCCCATCCCCCCTCGCACGGTCCCTCCGGCAGTGCCCCTCACTGCCTGGCGCCAGGAGCTGTGCCCAACGCCCCACGCTGAGCCCCTGGCCCCGGCAGTGCCACTCACAGGGAGTGGGCGAGCCCCAGGGCCAGCGCCCAGGCCAGGGACAGGGCAGCCACTGCTCCGCGCATGCTGGGTCGGGTCAGGGCTCTGGGCTGTCGCCCTCCCCTATATAGAGTGGGAGGCAGGGCCCAGAGCCCATGGCACAGCCCCCAGCCCGGAGCTGCTCCCATTAACCCCACACACGCCAGGCTTCCCAGCACCACAGCCTGGAGCCGAGGAGACCCCCAGAACCTAGCAGTGACCGCCAGGTGAGATGGGGAGACTCTGCCCCCCTGGAGCCGAGCAGGGCGGGGGTCGGGCACTGTCTGCCACAGGACTCGGCCCCCTGGACCGTGCTGGGATGGGGGACAGGGCTGAGCAAGGTGCCACAGGGCGGGGGGGTCTCCAGGGCTCTTCGCACCTGAGCCGCTCTCCCTCAACCCAGGGCTGCCCCTGGGTCCCTGCTGGGTAAACCCCCTGAGTGCTGGCCAGGGGCCTGGGGACAGCTGGGGGTGGGGCAGGGGGCCTGTATGGGGCAGAGGGACCAGGGCGGGGGGCTGCATGGGGCAGAGGGACCAGTGCGGGGGGGCTCCAGGGGGCAGAGGGACGGGACGGGGGG